GCCATGGGCGTAGGAACCCAAAAAAATCTGGCGGGGATAGCATTTTTACTCGCCGGGTATATTCTTATTCCGTAAACTAGGAGTTGTTTATCCCATTGTACAGCGCTACGGAATTTGCAGTCGCTATATAAATGATTAAATAATAACATTAAAGGGTCACTACAGGGAAGGGGTTTTACTTACCCGGATACAGCGCCGGGATCCTCCTGATGCCGCGCCCCCTATTTCATCAAAATGACGAAATAGGAGGGTGCGAGCAGGGAGCAATAAAACGCTTCTATTCAGAAGCGTCATTGCTCTCTGGTGCCCATGCGCAGCTTTGCCGCACATGAGCAGATACTTTATAGGATGGCATTCATGTCTCGACTAGGAAGCACCTCTAGTGGCCATCTGAGTGTCCACTAGAGGTATTCCTCATCAGTAATGTAAATACTGCCTTTTTACAAAATGGCAGTGCTTACATTAAAAAGCCTGCAAAGACATGCTATAGACACCAGAACTACTATGTTTAGCTGTTGTGGTTCTGGTGACTATAGTGTACCTTGAATATAGAGAGGAAAAAAGAATCATCACAAATGTAAGAAATAAAATGTTTGTATCATTATTCTAAAAATTATTTTTAAAAAATAAAAAAATATGCACATTCCTAGCTTAATTTTTAGCACGACATGTGACACAAACATTTTGTACTTTGCAGATTACTTTTTATATTTTTTTATACATATACAGATTATGTAATACTGCCCCTGACTTAGGGTGACCATATTTCCTATCTGCCATTCAGTGACACTGTCAGAAATGCATTCCATACATTTTACTATCCGTCTCTACCCCTTCCATTTATATTAGAACCCCACCTACCCCTTCCATGAATATTAGAACCACCCCTACCCCTCCCATGAATATTAGAACCACCCCTACCCCTTCCATGCACAAAAGAACCCCACCTTCCACGCATATTAACCCCCTCACCCGTTCCATGCATATTAGTACCCCCCTAGCCCTTTCCATGCATATTAGTACCCCCTAACCCCTTCCATGCATATTAGAACCCACCCTACCCCTTCCATTCATATTAGTACTCCCCTAACCCCTTCCAATAATTTTTCTACCTCCCCCCTCCTCCCATCCATATTAGTAGCCCCCCTAAACCCTTCCAATTATTTTTCTACCTACCCCTCTCCCCCTATCCTTATTAGTAGCCCCCTAACCCTTTCCAATTATTTTTCTACCTATCCCTTCCCCCATCCATATTAGTAGCCCCCCTAAACCCTTCCAATTATTTTTCTACCTTTGTCCCCCCTTTTACCTGACATAGCAGGGGGACCTCTGGACGTCTGGCAGGCGCAGTGTCAGACTGAGCGCCGGGTAGTCACGTGACACTCGGCCAGGGCCGGTGCAAGGATTTTTGCCGACCTAGGCAAAAGTAAAGTTTGCCGCCCCCCCATGTGACATCACAATGCCCCACCCATATGATCTGCCATGTTAACTAACACCAGTGCTGGAGTGCCGCCGTGTTTACATTAAAAGGCCTGCAGGGACAGGCTATAGACACCAGAACCACTACATTAAGCTGCAGTGGTTCTGGGGACTATAGTGTTTCTTTAATGTGAGGTAAATTAGAGATTAGTGCCACGAATAATATACTAGATTGCCTACTTACAACCAGATGAGGATGATGATGGGCTCTAGCTGCAGTCTGGCTCCACTGGTCTGGTGTAGAACAGGCTCTCTGGAGGCTGTTTGTAACTGTGGTCACAAAAATCAATGTTTTGGGAGAACGGGAAGCAGCTCCATTTTTTGGGGGCCCTTTACACAGCTCAAGGTCTGGGTCCCAGGGTCCACCTTCATGTCCACCAATGAGTTTGTTCACAGGGGGTGGAGTGTGTAGGGGATGTCCTGATAAGTGTGTAAGGAATGCATTGTGTGAATCTGTGTTTGTATGTGTAAGGGCTGCAAGGTGTGTTTCTGTGTATGTACGGGATGCAGCGTGTGCGTCTGTAAGGGGTGCATTGAGTGTGTGTACGGGGTGCATTTAGTGTGTGTAAGGAATGAATTGTGTGTTTCTGTGTGTGTAAGGTTTGCATGATTGTGCGATTGTGTGTGTGTGTGTGTGTGATGGATGTCAATCTCTCTCCCCCTCTTTCTCCCCATCCCTCCCTTGTCACTCTCTTTCTCCCTCTTCCTCCCTTCCTTGTCACTCTTTCTCCCCCTTCCTCCCTCCCTTGTCACTCTCTTTCTCCGCCTTCCTCCCTCCCTTGTTACTCTCTTTCTCCCCCTCCCTCCTTGTCCTCCTTTCTCCCCTTCTTCCCTCCTTGTACTCTCCTCCCTTTCCTCCTCCTTGTCCTCTTTCTCCCTCCTCCTTGTCCTCTCTTTCTTCCCTCCTTGTCACCTCCTCCCTCCCTTGTCTCCCAGTTCAGGTGGCTGCAGCTTTGCAGCTTTGCCCGGGCTGGTGCATCCATGAGGGCGCATCGCCCGGGAGCAGTATGAGGAGAGGGGCTGACAGGAGGGAAGCGCTCAGCGCTCCTTCCTGTCACTCCCTCACTGTAGCGTGGCCGAGCCCTGTATGGTCCGCAGGTACAGGGAGCTTTTGTTTCCTGTACCCGGCCGGACTAAAAGGAAGTGCACACTGAGTGTTCACTTCCTGTTAGTCCGGCTGGGTACAGGAGACAGATGCTCCCTGTACCCACGGACCATACAGGGCTCGGCCACGCTACAGTGAGGGAGTGACAGGAAGGAGCGCTGAGCGCTTCCCTCCTGTCAGCCCCTCTCCTCATACTGCTCCCGGGCGGTGCGCCCTCATGGACGCACCAGCCCGGGCAAAGCTGCAGCCACCTGAGGCTCTCTGCAGAGCGCTCGGGCGGCTGCAGCATGAGGGGGCCGGAGGAGCTGGGGGGGATTTCCCTATAACCTGTCCCCCCCGCATGATTTGCTGGGGGGGATGTGTCCCCCCCATATCCCCTGGTTCCTACGCCCATGCGTGCAGCCGTGAGACGGGGGCCGTGACATTTCTCTACTTATATTTTTATTATTTTGCTTTAGCTCTGTCTTGCCCTCGGGTTTGTATTCTGTAATTGTGTTTCCTTTTTCAGAAAGCTTCACTTTGAGAATACGTCCATGTTTACTTTCAAGAAAATATGTAATGTGGAGCATGCCCTGAATTAGGATATTAGATAAGTGGCTCACACTGACCATTCATGTTGGAAAAAAAATATTTTCAGGTAAAGGAATTGAATATGAAAGAGATTAAGGTTAAGCTTGAGGTTGCCACTTTCGCACATTACTGGGACAATAGGATTATCCCTCGAGGATGGCGGTTATACCTTACTTCAGCTGACAGGAATGAAAATGAATTTACTCTTATTTGGTATTGCATACGTTATCATGTATGAACTTATTAGTCATATTATGTGTGAAAGGAAGAAAAGATGCTTGCAATACTAGATGAGGAAATAACTAATCACAAGGATGCTCTTTTTTTTAGAATCACCACAGTGTACCTTCATCTCCTATAATGATTTTACAACCATAATACTGACACTACATCTGGAGTGCTGAAGGTTGCTAACCCCTGGTGTAACTAATTGATGGATAAGATATAGTGATTACATAATTAAAATGAACTGCTCCCCCTACATCCCTAGCTTGTAAGTTGCTGTAGTTGGGGTGGAAGATTCCCCAGCACCTGATATTTCGGCTGGTACATTTGCTGTAACGGTTTGCTCCTCTCATATGAATGAAGCTCCAGAGTGCAGGCGCTATGTGCAGCTTTACACTGTGTTTCCGCTCTCCCTGAATCTAGCCTAGCATCCACATGCTGTTACTTCATAATGAGACCAGGAAAAGTTAACAGGTCCTGGAATCCTGGAATCTCCATTAACCAGGTAAGAGGACTGGAAAAACTGCTGAGATATTCATAGGTAGATACCTTCAAATATGGGTTGTATGAGAGTGACACATGCATAGGGTAGTGTAGGAAAGCGATACAGCACTATTATCACCCCACACACATTTCTCACTGCTACCCACATAAAGTAACATCTTAGCTACAGCTACTCATGCACAGCAACACAATTACCACACACGGCAACACACATCACTCACAGCTACCCACACAGCAACACATCTTATTGATTGACTGACTGCCTAGATTCTGTGACTGTCACAGGAGCACTGGAGAAGGTGAGCTGTTCAGAATGTCACAATACAGGTCTCTTCTGTGCTCTGTTGTACATCCATTCATCTATAGTTTCCTGGTGCCTCATTATGACATCATATGGACCTGGGACCCTCCCATGTGTCTCCTTTTTTAATGTCAGTCTTTTGGTGCTTTTTGATGACCTGTGCACAGCTGTGACATAATGACCCTCTGTAACCAATCACAACCCAGTACAGGGTATATATACTTCCTGGTTGTCCTTGTTTCTTTGCCCTGTCGTAGTTTCTGTTTACCAGAGAGTGCATTATATATTACTTATTATTCCGTTTTCTGACCTTGGCTTGTCTGACCATTCTTGTAACCCTGACCTTGGCTTGTTTCTGTGTACCTCTGTATTCACTGACCTCTGCTTGTTAACGTTTATTCTGTGTCTGCTTGCATAACCCGGCCACTCTAAATACCAGTATGCATACCTTCCTTGTATATACATAGGTTTGTTTGTTTGTTAGGGTCAGGCCAATCCTGGCACATATAAAATGGTCTAGAGAGGGAGACTGACTGTCAAACAGTTGGTGATGGTGTGTGTGACAAAATTGAGATTAAGTGAAAGAAAGAAAATGGGGGTATCAAGAAACGATGACTGAGTTGCAAAAATAGCTGGGTTAAAGAAACTTTGAAGAAAAAAAAAATAAGCTAGGAAGTAAAATGACAGAAGTGAGTACGAGATGTAGATTAATGAATAGGTGCACTCTATTTAGGTTGTGATAAACATACCATACAACATGATGTATATATAATTTTTTTATTACATATATATATATATATATATATTATAATTTATGCATAAATCACTTTAAATTGTAAATCTCTATCTGTACATTTAAGACATCTTACATAACATATCAATCGGTACCACCAATTACATGATTACACGTTTTGTTATCATACCGATTACAGACCAATCCAAAAAAACATTTTTAATAATTTATTTTAATGTAGATTTAAATAAAAGACTGCCACTCCACAATTTGTAGACATATTCACACCCAATGTGTTTCACTATGGCAGTATGAGTTATAACATTCTGAAAAGCAATTAAAAAAATTTTTTTTCATTTGGTCCGACATGTTTGGTTGATTTTTTTTAAATTTTATTTTATTCTAATCAAGTGTTTAAGAAATAACAAATACAATAATAACCTACACATTGATATCTTGATACTAAATGTGGGTTTTTTTTAAAAAAAAAAAAAGAAGAAAAAAAGCTTCAGAGCTTCAGCATCATCATATTGCATTCAGATGTTTTAGAACATCTACACAGGCACAACTCAGCTCCTAAGGAGGCTCTGCAAGTCTTTAATATGTCACTGGGTATGTGGTTTGGCTTGTGCTTGTGTTGTAACTATGGTAACACTGATAAATGATGTCAAGACCAGTGGATTCACAAAAAATACACCGCTAGTCACTGCCTATAGTGTGTATGAATAGAAGTTGATCAATGTTGTTTGAGTAGTTTGGGAATTTCTAATAATCTTAAATGTAATTAAAAAAAATATAATTTCTTAGTACATTATTTGCATAAGACTCTATTCCAATGTTATTTAAGCAGAGTCAACCTTTATTTTACCGTACTCGGGTAGTGTTGTAGAAGGATGTCAGCATGCTATATAGAGAACTAGTGTTAACGTAATGAGATAAATGTAAAAAAAGTTTGTGGATTCACACATTCAGAGTGCTAAAATTGCTTAGAATTAACTCATGGATTATCTTCAAATGTGCCCCCAAATTGTTTTTGAATATCTGAATTGTAATTTTGCACATAAGGACCTTAATAATTAATAGTGGTTGCTGCTAGTGGTGTATTGTCCATTTACAGTACTTAATGCACTAGCACAGCTACACTTTGAAGTAGAAGATATTTGCTCGGAAAGGACATGCACACTTCCACTGGCCCCTATATGAGACATGTAAGCCCAATTAATTTGTTGCGTAGTCTTTAAAAAAGGTTTTATGATAATAATAAAAAATATATATTCTAATAAATATTTCTCTTGACAGGTCTTATATGATAGTGATTTCCTTGTATATTATTTAGAATTAATGTCCATTGATTCTCATCTATCATGTGTCTTTAATTTCTGCAGTAAAACAATTAAAGGTATTTTATTTTAAAAATAAGAACCATATTGCACTCATGTAGTGTGCAATATTTAATATGTATATAGTTGTGATGCCATAGAAAAATAAGCTATTTGATCATAATTTAATTAGTAAAAAATGTAAATCATTTTACAGTATGAAAAGCCTTGAAAACAGAACAAAGTATCACTTTCACAGACAGTGAATCTGACTGGAGCCTGTGATGTTATACACTAATGGAGTTATACACTAAACATTGATTGTAGTGAATTCAATCCAAATTACCAAATTAAGGCTAAATTGTGACAATAGCTGAGTTTAAATTCTTTTCAAGATTTGCTATTTTTTCCTAAATTTTGCAATTTGGTTTAATTCACACTTTAGTGAATATCCCAGTAAACAGGGAATTGTTCTGAATTAAAAATCCAATTTGCAAGAACGTAAAAATAAATAAATCTTCAACTCATCTAGGTTTCTACTTTGGTTATTGTGAGGACTATATTCTCTAAGGTGTGTTTTCAACTTCATTCATATTATTAGCAGCAAAACAGTTTGAAACGGAATCAATTTACATACAGCATAGTAAAATGTACTTAAAATGTTTCACAAAACAAATTATCCTTAATCAGAAAAACCTATCTATGATTCCATTTTAATATATTTTGAAATAAAACTTGAAATTCATGACTATTCACATGTTAACGAATACCATGATAGTATCTGGTCGGGCAGGTATGACACAGAATATATAGAGACTGTTAGCAACACTGCTTCTAACAGATTTAACATCGATCCCTTTAGACTTAGGAGAACAGTACATTTAAAAATAAAGTACAACAAACCCAAAATGAGCACCGTGATTAAATGAAATCATTGACCTTACTAGCTCCCTGTAGCTCCCTTTAACACCTCAAAATCCTTTGAATCTTCATATCGGCTAAAAAATAAAAAACAAAACTATATTCAACTGAATTTCAAAACTTTTCTGATAAATATGAATAATGCTGTTTTCTGTTTTGTCTGATAGTATTACTTATATTTCATCACCAATATAAGTTAAAAAACTTGCACAATGGTTTATGGACTTGCATTAATAACGACTTCTCAGTTTAAGAGAATTCACTGCTGTATGCTAAATACAATATAATTCCACAACTGTACTCATAGCACTACACGTATGTACACCATGCCCTTTCCGTTTTCCTTTTTCACATGGCATTTTACCATCAGGGATAATGTTCTGATTCTAGAGTTTATCAATAGCAGACCATGTATTAAACTGAACAGGATTCTAAAAATATAGAAATTATTTAAACCTAAAACATACATTTTTATGCAAAGAGGTAGATCTGTAAAAGAGAAACGGACACAAAATGCTTAAAGGAATGCTATAGTGTTAGGAAAACAAATGTAAAATAAATTTTAGATTTCCACCCCCTTTGCAAAAGTTCATTCACTCACCATTTGAGGAATGTTCAGAGTGCATAGCATGGAGACGCTGAATGTGTGCAGCACTGACCCAGGAAGCACCTCTAGTGGCCATCTGAGTGACTGCCACTAGAGATGTTATTAGGCAGTGTTTACATAAAAAAGCGTGCGGGGATAATCTATACATACACACCAGAACAACCACATTAAGCTGTAGTTGTTCTGGTGACTATAGTGTCCTTTTAAAATCTGTATGTTTTTGGTATAGATGATCATTACAGTACACTACAGTACTCTATAAGCTATCATCATGGACAGGGCACTTCAGGCGCACTCTATGGTCTGCCCTGAGTTGATCAGCCTGGAGCACCTGGCAGACTGACACCTACCCTTATCAGATGGACTCACCCACTTTATGAGTAGGTCTACACAATGTTGGCTCCTCCTTCTGACCCTCCCATGCCCGCCCTGCTTTCATACCTACCATTGTTGGGGATATGTAATAATGCAAACATACCTAGGCCATTATACCATATGATAAAGAAAATCATATGTTTGGTTTATCAAGCAGAGCTCTTTTGATTGAGGCTGCATTTAATTTGGTTCCTATACTATTGCCGACTGCGCAGTAGGCCAACTATTACAAAACTAGGAGCTATGTTTATAAGTTGTGTGTCTGTTCTGAAGTTAGGTCATAGTAGGAGAATACTCTTAAACTGTAAGAAAGCATAAAGGATAAAATATTATTTAAAATGTGACAGTACAAGTCATACCCAGTACCAGGAGTGCCTGTTCAGTGCACTTTATATCCAATGTAATGGGGCACTAAAGGCACCAAGACCACTTCATCTAAATGAAGTGGACTGGATGCCATGACCCTCTCAGTGTAAAACATTGCCATTCTGCAGAAGTGTTCCTTTAAATATACCTCACATATTCTTAATTGTATTATCCACTATAAAGGAGTTGGGTACTTGATTCCTATTTTGTATTCATTTTTAATATAACTATTGTTATACATTGTCCTTTACAGCTGCTCTGAAATTTAAAAAAAAAAAAAAAACACATAAATTTAGTAAGTGCATTAAACACATAAGAGTTTACAATCATTTAGGTGGTCTAGGTAGACCAAGTGCTATTTCTGCCATTAACGATAAAATAACCTGTCATGTTAGATTTACGTTAATATAAATCTCCCCCCTCAATGTATTGAATACATCATATCACAGATATTTAGAATGTATTCAATGTAAAATTGTGAGATATTAACTCACCTCACTTTACATTTCAGTGACCTCCACTTCCAGTTCAATCTGACTGCTTTTCGCCCACTCTTTTCTTTCATATGCCCTACTTGGTGATGCTTCTCCAAGCAGGGCAAAAGTCCTTTGTGAGGCTGATTGCCAGCATGCTGGTGTCTGAACAGAGAGATGTCAGTACATTCCATTCAATCACTCCATTCCTGTGCCCCTAGCAAGCACTAGCAGCTTTGGCTAGGGAGCTAACACAGTAAATATAGCACATGCACTTTGGTTGCTATGCTTGGAGACCAGAAAGACAGCTTTTGAGAGGTCTCTGCCCTTTCTGTCACTCTTCGGCATAGGAGTCTATGCCGAAGAATTGAATGATAAGTGGGTCAAACATCTGTTTTTAAAGGACAGATACCTTTTATAAACTTGGTTGCCAACATTTTATGCAAGCAATTGTAAAGGCATGAAGATGCGGAAAGGAATAGGACCGTCATATCGTAAAGACCTCCAGAAACCTCAAAACAGTATTCCATCATTACATGTCTTGAACATGAAGTCTTCAGAAATATTCTGTGTTTCACTTTTTCCTTCACTGGCCTATTTCAAGTCTTAGTTTGTTAGTAAAAACAATTTTTTAGGCATAAGTCATCTTCCCCAGGTAATTAGCTGGGACATATCCTTTCTGGCCATGTGCTTCCCCAAGCCACCATTCCCTGTTCCCACTCAAGTCACAGAACTGCAGAATCCGGACTCTTTGGTGTTCCTCCAAACTAAGCTCTTGTTGACTCCTAGCTTCAAATGCATAAACTGCATAAAAAATCTGAAATGAACAAAATAGAGCATGATTATTATGCTTAGCATTTACTCATTTACTTAGCATTTACTAATAAAAAAGTGTCACATTTCTACTGGAAGCAATTCCTTTTTGCACCTTCCAGTGAACACTGTTGAAGCATTTACTGAAGTGTAATGTGCATCAGAGGTGAGAAAAAAACAAACTTATTGCTACTTCTTGATCTGGTGGTTGATGTTGTTGCTTTGCCATGCACGAAAGACATCTTGATCCTTTGACTCCCTGCATATGTGATATTAATTCCATAATTAACATAATGTCATATGTTCTTGTGGTTTGTATAAACAAGCGTGGCATTACAGGCTACTTGGGATCAAATGAGTAAAATATCACTAAAATCAACCAATCACATCTCAATGATGAGGTCTGGGTGCATGGTTCTGTCATTATAACCCTGCAATGTAAAACATTGTTTTTTTTGTAGTAAATCGACATACAGTCATGGGAAGAAGAAAGTACACCCTATTTGAATTCAATGGTTTAACACATCAGGACACAACAACAATCATCTGTTCCTTACAGGTCTCAATATTAGGTACACTACAATCTCAGATGAGCAACACCACACATTACACCATGTCATGATTTATTTAACTTAGAAGCCAAATTGAAAGAATTTCTGATGTGGATAATGTTGCTGTAGCTCAGCTACTTTGGCCTTAAAGGAACACTATAGGGTCAAGAACACAAACATGTATTCCTGACCCTATAGTGTTAAAACCACCCCTCTTGCCTCTAAATATAGTAAAATCTTACTTGTATTCAAGTCTGCAGCTGCTGGCTCTGCCCCTGTCTGCCTCTGACCTGCTTGCCATCTGCTGACATCATTAGAAGTGGTGGTCTGAGCCAATCACAATGCTTTCCCATATGATTGGCTGAGGCTGTCATGGAGGCAGATCAGGGGCAGAGCCAGCAAAAGTCAAACACAGCCCTGGCCAATCAGCATCTCCTCATTTGAATTAATGCATCTCTATGAAGAAAGTTCAGTGTCTGCATGCAGAAGGCGGAGACACTGAATAGAAGTGCTGTTCACTGTGCATCACTCCCCCAGGAAGCACCTCTAGCAGTTATCTGAGGAGCGGTCAGTGGAGTTATCACTAGGCTGTAATGTAAACACTGCATTTTCTCTGAAAAGACGGGAATGATTATACTCACAAGAACAAATGCAATACGCTGTGGTTGTTCTGGTGACTATAGTGTCCCTTTAAATTTGAAATAAATTTTAAATTCCCAACAATTGTCACTTTTGTGAATAATCCACTTAAAAGGACTCCTGGACCACGCGCGCCTTATATACTAACCTGAGAGCCCAAACCCTAATAGCAGGAGCCACTAAGACCCCCTTCCACCTTCATAGCGGTACACGCCAGGGATGCCCTCTATCCCCACTGCTATTTGCCATCTCCCTAGAACCGTTACTACAAGCCATACGCCAACACCCACACATACAAGGAATAAGGGTAGCAGGGAAAACCTTCAACGTCTACGCATATGCAGACGACGTGCTGCTGACTTTCACAGACCCCTTGACCTCCATGGAACATTTGACTGACCTCCTGGATAAGTACGGAACCCTTGCGGGCTATAGAGTGAACCTTGTCAAATCCATGGCACTACCATTCCACCTCCTGACACAAGACAAAGCCATAATACACGACAGATACGGTCTACCCACCACAGCTGACAACATACCCTAAACTTACAGCACAGTACAAACACCTACACAACACTAACTACTCCCCATTGATTCATACACTCCTGAGAGACCTAGAGCAGTGGACAGACAAACCCATTTCATGGTTAGGTAGACTCCACTCAATTAAAATGAACATTCTACCCAGGTTACTATTCATGTTCCAGGCCCTGCGCACACAGGTTAAGAGGAGCGACTTGTCCACACTCCAAAAAGCAATAGACATGTTCATTTGGCAAAAGAAACGACCCAGAATAGCCAGGAAACTCCTGTACAGACCCAAGGACAGAGGGGGACTGGGATTCCAAACATGTACCTATACTATCTAGCAGCGCAGACGGCGCAAATAACATATTGGCACTCCACACCAGACACCCGTCGTTGGGTAGAACTCGAAACCTCACTAATGGGGCTTAACCTACCACAGTTCTATCCCTGGTTACACAAGACACACAGAGCACTCCCTAGAGTAACCTGCCCAGCAATAACGAACTCCCTAAGAATTTGGGACCTAACAGCAACTAAATACTCCTTAAGCAGGTTCCCCTCTCCAATGTCCCCTGTACTCAGGAACCAATCCTTCCCACCAGGAATGACAGCAGGTGACTTTAGTGGCCTCGAGAGAGCAGGCATCCAGAGATATTGCCATCTATACAAAAACGGCCAAGTAGTCACATACGACCAGCTCAGGGAACAATCCCCCCTTACAACCAAGAACTTCTTCCGCTACCTCCAATTACGAGACTTTGCTAGCTCAAAAGAAGTCAAGGAGATGGCCACTCTCCCACTCACCTGGTTCGAGAATATATGCTACCAGGAAAAACACCCCAGTGGACTCATATTGTTACTATACTCTCACATCAGCGAGGAGGCCAAAGAATGGGGGGAGCTACGATACACAGACCAGTGGGAGACAGACCTGGGAGAGACATTAGAGGGCTACGATTGGCAGGACATTTGGGAGGCCACAGCCCGATCATCAATATGTGTCACCCTCCAGGAACAATCATTTAAAACACTTTTCAGGTGGTACACCACACCATTAAAACAATTCCGCATGCAGATCACCCCCACAGATCTTTGCTGGCACGGCTGCGGGGAACAAGGCACCTATGTGCACATGTGGTGGAAGTGCAATAGACATGTTCCTTAGTACAGACCTATTGGGTTCAAATTATCAACCTAAGCACTAACATATTGCAGAGACCACTAAAACTAGACCCCTGGGCCTGCCTCCTCTCAAGACCAACAGATGGGCTTCCACGCCCAAAGCAACAACTGTTAAATATGATATACTTAGCGGCCCGTAGAGCACTAGCACAGAAATGGCTATGTCCGGAAATGCCCCCAGTAGCACTGGTCGTAGCGAAGATAAAAGATAACTACCTTATGGACAGATTAACTTCCCTGGTCATGCACACCACCAAAAAATTTAGCAAAATATAGGATCTATGGGAACAATATCAGGAGAACACGGAGGGCGGACAGGGGAACTGAACACACACGTAGGGCTAACGACAAAAGGGCACACAACGCCCCTCGTCCGAGCCGTGGAGACAGGCGCACCAATTCACCGTATCACTAAATACAATGCTTCTGGTTAATACAGGATTTTAGAATAACTGTTATGATATGTTTTATTAACAACCGTACAAAACCACGCTAATTGAAGTGACATATGTACTCAAGGCAAGACCTCACTGACAAACCACGTAGAGTTGTCTCAGCAAACCATGAGATGACAAATTAACTGCCGACGAAACTAGCGGCGACAGTAAGAATATATCTTGCCTTAAGATAACACCCCTCCCCATTGTGTAATTGAACCATCTGAAAACGCACTGCGGCTTCTGCGTAAGCTTATGCACTGTCATAAGTATGCACTTCTTTCGCGGCTTCTGCGTAAGCCTATACATTGTCATACGTGTATGCACTTCTCTCGCGGCTCCTGCGTGAGCCTACACATTGTCATTCATATATGCACTTCTCTTGCGGCTTCTGCATAAGCCTATTCATTGGCACACATATGTACTTCTTTTTTCTATGAAAAATAAAGAATTAAAAAAAAAAAAGGACTCCTGGATTACCACATTGATTTTATGAGAAGGGAGAAGAACTGAATGTCTTCAGCTTCAATGACCAGGAGTGGACTTCGAGTGCATATTTACAATGAATTACTCTAAAACATCTAAAACACAAGTTACTTTTCCATGGAAAAACTATTTATACAGATCCACAGAAAGAGCTGCTAATTTCAGTCTTGTTTCTACTAATCGATGGATCTGCATAAGCAAAAGAGTAACCTTTGAATGAATTTGTAAGACATATTTACATGAAATTCATCCCCACTGGTGCAAGTATCCAGGTCTGATCCATTCACATAATGTTTGTCTTCATCCTCATTGATGGATGGGCTGCTGTCACTAGTGCTTCCTACGGACGCTCGGCTGGTCCTGTCACGTGGCATCCGTGAAGAGACAAATAGACTGATGTTATCAAAATCATCATCACAGAAAGTGCAGTCTGCTGAATCCTTCTGGCTTTTCCCAGGGTTGTATGGTTTCAGGAAGGAAGAGTATACATAGCCTTGTATCACTAGCATAAGAAAAAGATGACAATTGTAGGATTATACATATCAAAAAACTTCAAAATACCAACTTTATTTCTAAATCACACAGAACTTAAATGCACTGGTGACATTTACATTGTAAACACAAGAAGACTTTATGGTTGACAGGAAAAAAAGAAATGAGTTAAAGGAAAACTGACACTTTACACTTCAATCATTAACCATCACCTATAATTTGGGTTTATCTTTTTTAAGTGCACCTTTTTTCTTGTAAATGTATATCAAAGATTTTCGAAGCAATCCAGTTCAATTCGAGGTACAGTAAAGGATAAGTAAACATAGTTGATAGCTACGTGCTTGTCACTGTGTTGAAAAAGCTTCGACCAAAGTATCCAATGATCTTATGACTGCAAAATCTCGTGGCCACTACTCTATCCTAATTTTCCTTGACCTTTCTGCTGCTTTTGACACTGTTGATCATCAACAGTTTCTTCTCATCCTCTGTAATCTTGGTCTACGGGATACTGCTCTCTCCTGGTGCTCTTCCTACCTCTCCCAGCGCTCTTTCAGTGTTTCTTTCTCTGGCCCTGCCTCTTCTCCACAACCCATCTCTTTTGGTGTTCCCCAAGGGTCTGTCTGTGGTCCCCTATTGTTCTCAATCTATACTGCCTTCCTTGGTAAACTCATAAGCTCTTTCAGCTTCCAGTACCATTTCCATGCAGATGACATGCAAATTTACCTGTCCTCCCCTGACATCTCACCAACCCTCTTGACTCATCTTCCACTCCGCCTGCACCTTCCATGCCTCCCCCTCTGTCAGTCCCTACATTGGCTATCCGTAAGATATTGGGTTCAATTTAAGATCTTGGTACTTGCTTACAAATGTCTACCCAATGCTGCTCCGACCTACTTATCCTCACTAATATACAAAAATGTCCCATCTAGGCCCCTACACTCTGCCAAAGACCTACATCTAACCTCTGTTCATACTCCTATCTCTGCTGCTAACCTTAAAAACTTCTCTAGGGCTGCACCATTCCTTTGGAACGCCCTTCCCCTCTCTGTTAGACTTTCACTCAGTCTCCCACTCCTTCTAAAAATCTTTGAAAACGTACATCTTCGGGAAAGCATATCAATTCAAACTGTGAACAGCTTTCCCTCCCCACACCCTGATTCCTCATCTGCAACTGTCATGAAAATAAAACACTAAGCCCTCAGTGAACACTATCCTAACAACCTACTTTTCAACCCTACCCTTACCTTTCATGTCACTATACCCCAATCCCTCTAGATTTAAGCTCATTGAGCAGGGCCTTCAACCCCCTCTGTCCTTGTGTGTCTAACTTGTCTGGTTACAAATACGTGTCTGTTAGTCCATCCATTGTACAGTGCTGCGGAATTTGTTGGTGCTTTATAAATAATAATAATAATAACATAGCTGAAAAGAGACATGCGTCCATCTAGTTCAGCCTTTCTCACATTTGTTTTTGCAGGTGATTCAAAAGGAGGCAAACAACCCAGTATAAAGCGCTTCCAATTTTGCAGTAGGAACAAAATGCTTCTTGACCCCAGAATGTCAGTCAGATATCTCCTTGGATCAAGAAGCTATTTCCCCACTAATTAAAAATGATAGAATATTTAGTTTTTGCAAATATTTATCCAATTTCTGTTTAAACATATAGACTCTGATAAAACTACTTCTTCAGGCAGAGAATTCTACATCCTTATTGTTTTTACTGTAAAAATCCTTCCCATGGCCTTTGACTAAATCACCTTTCTTCCAGTCTAAATTCATGACCTAGTGTCTATGTATAGCCCTGTTAATAAGTATATTTCCAGACAATGGTTTGTATTGGCCCCAGATATATTTGTATAATGCTACAATATCCCCTCTGAGGCACCATTTTTTTTAAACTAAAGAGATTTACATTTGTTAACCTTTCTTCAGAACTACAATGTTTCATTCCTTTTATTAATTTTGCAATATCTTGCACAGCATATCATGTAGTGGTTATGGTGTCTATAGCCTGTTCTGGTGTCTATATCCTGTCCCTGTATGCTTTTTAATGTAAAAACACTGCATTTTCAGAGAAAAGACACTGTGTGCAGAACTGGCATTGGCCCATATTGCAGATCATACCGGTGGGGTGATGTCACATGGTGGACAGAGAAAATGGAGGGGCAGCAAATTTTAGTTTGTCTAGGACAGCAAAAGTCTGTGGACCGGCCCTGACCATGACCACTTAAAAAGCAGAAGTGGTCATGGTGGTTAGAGTAACCCTTTCAGTAGTGGAGGAAAACTGGAGATAAATGACAGCTGGCATGGAGATTGTACTGGGGAAGGGGAAGACAATAACTGTTTACATACCTGCCAACATTGGAGGTATGGAATTGGGACAGGTTGGTGAGTCTACAAGGGTGCATGACAGTTTTTTTCTTTTTGTCAACACACCATAATCAACTGTTTAAGAAATAGAGCCCTACACGAGAATATCTGAAAATGTTAACTCTTAATGCTCATTGTCAGTATATTACACTAGTGTTAATTAGTAGTTTGTATACTTAACACCTTGTACCACAATACATATGGTATAAATGAAAGTTACTATTTACATACTACAGAGCACAAGCAAGTCATGAATGGAAAACTTATTCTGGTGGCAGGAAAGAGACCCTAAGCAAAAAGGTAAGGCAATAAATGATTTGCTTGGGCTCTCTCGCCCTCTTTTTCTCTCACTCTATCTTTTTCACTCTTACTCGCTCTCTTTCTCTCTCTTACTCGCTCTCTTTCTCTCGTGATACAAGCTTCACTATACTTTAAGAGATCCGGGGGTGGCTAATGGTCTACAATTAGAAGCCAGTTCTCTAGTTGCTTAGGAAGAAGTGAACCGCTGTGTTCACACAGTAGACTGGGCAAATTTTCACACAAAAGAAAGTCAATATTTGACAGAGTGTTCTATTACTTACGTCCTGTGTCCACAAGCCACCTGCTGGTGCTTCCCAAGGGGTCCTTGTATTCCACAATAGCTACCATATCTCCTTCATACAGATCTATATCAAGTTCCTGGGAAGCATTGCACTTGCGTTTTGCTTGGTAAAGTTTATCTGCACCATAGGTAGACAATAGCTTACATCTGTGGCTTTCAGTCTGACGAGGACGTTCAGGCTTAATGGAAAACAAAGAGCAAAATTATTGATTGCAGTGTTTAAAAAAATAAATGGTAATAATATCTAACTAGGGAGCTTAAAGAGCATTTCATGGTAGCACAGTGGAATAGCTATAAATATAGCTTGTATGATGGTTAACTGTTTATGTGCTGGGAGTTATCACATCAGTAAGACTGTTGTGAAGATGACACTATGACAAATAAAACTGAAAATGACCTGTTTGGTAAGCATAATATTAAACAACAAAATAAAAAGGGATATCAGAACAAAGATTATAATTGGGGAAAAAAAGGAATATCCAACCCAAGGGTGATAACTGCCCCCACTATATGGAATCACCCAGAATTGCTGAGTTATTGCATCAAGTCTACCCAATAAACCCAGCCAACATTATGCTGCTGTATAGATACCCAGAGATTACCAATATTTGCTTCAACATCTACCCTTTTCTATACGTAATCCTAATACATGACATGCCTGTTTAGTTGCATGCTATCAATGACTTTAGTGAGTTATAATATTGGATACATCCACGATAAAATAAGCACAATTATTATTACACTTTCTCTCAGTCAGCGTTAGATATCAAAGTGCCCGCACACTGTACTATCACACGTCAGCATTAGACAACAGAGTGCCCGCACACTGTAACACCACACGTCAGTGTTAGACAACAGAGTGCCGGCACACTGTAATACCACACGTCAGCGTTAGACAACAGAGTGCCCGCACACTGTAATACCACACGTCAGTGTTAGATAACAGAGTGCCAGCACACTGTAATACCACACGTCAGCGTTAGACAACAGAGTGCCAGCACACTGTAATACCACACGTCAGTGTTAGACAACAGAGTGCCCGCACACTGTAATACCACATGTCAGTGTTAGACAACAGAGTGCCCGCACACTGAAATACCACACGTCAGCGTTAGACAACAGAGTGCCCGCACATTGTAATACCACACGTCAGCGTTAGACAACAGAGTGCCAGCACACTGTAATACCACACGTCAGCGTTAGACATCAGAGTGCCAGCACACTGTAATACCACACGTCAGCGTTAGACATCAGAGTGCCAGCACACTAAAATACCACACGTCAGCGTTCAACAACAGAGTGCCAGCACACTGTAATACCACACGTCAGTGTTAAACATCAGAGTGCCCGCACACTGTAATACCACACGTCAGCGTTAGACAACAGAGTGCCAGCACACTGTAATACCACACGTCAGCGTAAGACAACAGAGTGCCCGCATACTGTAACACCACACGTCAGCGTTAGACAACAGAGTGCCCGCACACTGTAATACCACACGTCAGTGTTAGATAACAGAGTGCCAGCACACTGTAATACCACACGTCAGCGTAAGACAACAGAGTGCCCGCATACTGTAACACCACACGTCAGCGTTAGACAACAGAGTGCCGTCACTGTAACACCACACGTCAGCGTTAGACAACAGAGTGCCCGCACACTGTAACACCACACGTCAGTGTTAGACAACAGAGTGCCGGCACACTGTAATTCCACACGTCAGCGTTAGACAACAGAGTGCCAGCACACTGTAATACCACACGTCAGTGTTAGACAACAGAGTGCCCGCACACTGTAATACCACATGTCAGTGTTAGACAACAGAGTGCCCGCACACTGAAATACCACACGTCAGCGTTAGACAACAGAGTGCCCGCACATTTTAATACCACACGTCAGCGTTAGACAACAGAGTGCCAGCACACTGTAATACCACACGTCAGCGTTAGACATCAGAGTGCCAGCACACTGTAATACCACACGTCAGCGTTAGACATCAGAGTGCCAGCACACTAAAATACCACACGTCAGCGTTCAACAACAGAGTGCCAGCACACTGTAATACCACACGTCAGTGTTAAACATCAGAGTGCCCGCACACTGTAATACCACACGTCAGCGTTAGACAACAGAGTGCCAGCACACTGTAATACCACACGTCAGCATTAGACATGTGGTATTAGTGTGTGCGGGTACTCTGTAGTACGCTCATGTATATCTGATTACTCATGCTTTGGACCTCTGCGCAAGTTCCATGATATTTAACACAGCCTATTATTGAGTTACACAGCCTCTGCATTGGCAAACCTGAATCTCATTTCATTATCAACTTTATGATTGATCCACAAAAAAACCATTAAATACATTTAAAACAAAAAAGAGATATCAGGGAAAAAAGCAATAAATCCCTTTCTTGGTCTGAATATAGCCTTGTGGCAAACTACCCATTTACCAGGCTTATAAAGATCAAAGCAGTGAACCTCAAACCAGACTTAATGGAACACTCCAAGCACCATAGCCACTACAGCGTGCTGTGTTGGTTATGGAACCACCAATGTAATTAATCAAACTGTTTGCTTTCGGTTTGACAACTTACCTGGAACCCACTATATTCTGGTCACTCCCACCATGGGGAGTCAGAAGCTTGAGCATGGAGTTTCCATAAGCTCTCCTGAGCTAAACCCTGCTGTGCAATGCCAGCTCATTGACTGAGAGTGTCAAATGATTGCTGCAGTGGTTATGGTGCGTTAAGTATTCATTTAAGAAGAACTGGTGTGGTCATATTCCATATATTTTATGTGTTTTACACTCTTTGGTAACATTGGTGGCCCTTGAAGTTCTGAATCAGTATGTCTAGAGCAGGGGTTCTCAACCCAGTCCTCAAGGACCCCCTACCAGCCCAGGATTTAGGGATTACCTGGGTGTGTCTAAGGTGTTTAGAAAAAGAAAAACACCTTAGACTCTAGGTAGCCCAGATCAGCACACAAACTCTAAGGTGTTTTTTTTCCTTTTTCTAAACACCTTAGACACACCCAGGTAATCCCTAAATCCTGGACTGGTAGGGGGTCCTTGAGGACTGGGTTGAGAACCCATAATCTACAACATTATTGTAGAACTGCTGGCCAGTTGACAAGAAACTATCTTGAAATATGTTTTGTTTCCCTCATTCTGTAGCTCTGCAACCTCAGTTTCCCAGTCACCTACTATTTTCACACATTTTCAGGAGGTAAATGAATAGTATTACTTAAAGGACCACTCTAGGCACCCAGACCACTTCAGCTTGATGAAGTGGTCTGGGTGCCTGGTCCAGCTAGGGTTAACCCATTTTTTCATAAACATAGCAGTTTCAGAGAAACTGCTATGTTTATGAATGGGTTAAGCCTTCCCCCTAATCCTCTTAGGGATTTTTCACAGTGAGAGCACGCAAGCGTCCATAGGAAAGCATTATGAATGCTTTCCTATGTGACCGGCTGAATGCGCGCTCAGCTCTTGCCGCGCGTGCGCATTCAGCCCAGGAGGAGGAACGGAGGAGGATCGGAGGAGGAGAGCTCCCCGCCCAGCGCTGGAAAAAGGTAAGTTTAACCCCTTTTAGCCTTTCCAGAGCCGGGCGGGAGGGGGACCTGGCACTATAGTGGTCCTTTAACAGTATGTAGCACTCACATACCAGAGGATTGCAATTTGTTAGTTTAAGAACACCGGACACCTTAACAACGTGATTAACATTAGCTTGTTATGGTTCCAGGAGATGGCCGGGTCATTTCTTACCTGAAGGGAGTTCTTGAATGGTTGACCCCAAAGTTTGCCTCCAGTGCTGGATCTCCAGTTCCACCAGCAGTATCCGGCTTCTGAAATTGACTAGCAGGAAGCATAAAGTGTCATCGGGCAGGGGTGCCACCGATTGGCTAGAGCGGTTAGCTGATGCTCTTAACCAATCAGTATCTCCCCATTCATACAAAGAAGGGAAGAAGTACGCGGCGACTTCCTGGCACCATTTCAATCTTATTTTAATGAAGTTGTTATGGTTCCCAGAGTGTTCCTTTAAGGTGGATCCTACGGGATCATGTCTATAATTAATTGAGTTCATACAACTGCATATTAGGAATAGTTCTACAGCAATGCATGGTAGTAACTCTTTGTACGTTGTTTTAAATCACTGGATTGAATCAAGGCACAACAACTCATTAAGATGAATTTATGATATAGCAACCAATAAATTCATGTTTTCAGTTTCCCAAGTTCTCCACAACGTGTATAGTACAGAAAGTGTCATACAAAAAAAAAAAAAAGATAATATAAAATTGGAACTCCACCTTTCTAATACCAGTTACTTTTTTTTTTTAACTTTACTTATTGTTCTTGAGCAGATCGTCATGGTCTTTGTTACCCCGTTTGAATAAAGCTTGCACACATAAGGTTTTTATAAGAATCTGTGAAACCCAAAACAAACTATTTGTTATATGACAATGCTGCTTACCAGTGGTGACAGGGTTTTTTTCCTCTCAAAACTCAGTTTTCTTTCTATAAATGTACTGCTGTTGCTGTCTTTAACAAAGTTCAAGTCCTGCAGTTCCTCAATGATACGATTCTGAAGTTCGTTCATATTTTCGGTGTGTTGCTGTGGACAAAAGTGGTAATAATATTGTTACACTGAGAGTATATATAGAGTATGTAGTATATGGTATATATGGCAAAACATACAGTATTGATAGATGCTTATTGATAACATATAATCAGGGCTCTGTGTGTTACTAATGCATCAATTTAACATAAAATACTCAGGATTATTCAGTGAAAAATTAGCCAATTTAGATATTCTCACAACTTGTCTATTTAGGCCTTGATGTTGTAATTCAGATCTATATTCACTACATTTCATTAATGAATAATCCTGCTTTCCAGACAGGGCCGCCCGTTTTACAAACAAGCCCGCTTATTATGTGTCTCACCAGTGACGCAATGTATGTCACTGGTGATAATCCTTCACAGGACTGCCCACCAGTCCAAATTTCATACCACCAAAGTCAAGAGATGTGCCTTAAATAGTGAAAAGGCAGTGATTGAAAATGTATTAAAAAGCAATGGCAGTAATAGAGATATATTCATGAAACAATGATCTATGCTGAATTGCTAATTAATTTGCTAAATTTAGATCATAATAGCCACTAAAGTGCACTGTGGTGGCTATAGATCCAGGAATGGGTGCCACTCCCTGTTCATTCATTGGCTGAGAGTGATGTTCTCAGCCAATGAGCTGGCTTAGCTCAGGACAGCTAACAGCTTTTGTTTGTTTTTCCTCTTTCAATGTGCATTTTTTGTAACATATTGGATTTTGTTTTAATAAGAGACAGTGACCAGGGATTATGGAAGATAAGTTATGTATTACTGATTTTTGTTGCACATTTGTGTATTAAACTACCATCATACTTTGTTTGCTACTGATAGCTGGATCCGTAATCTGAAACAAAATTCATGACTTTATTTATTTTTTTATATCTAAGAAAACTGTATCTCAAAGTTCTATAATTGGCCTTCAGCTACCAAAGATATATTTATGTTGAGTAATTCAATCCACATTGTCCTGTTAGGATGCACTGTAAGACATGAGCCTGTAGACAGACATTAATTTAAAATGTAGATTATTTTTAATTAACAATCTGCCGTCCGAGTTCTCATAACTTATGCAGGATTTGCCATTTTTTTCAGTTGACAAAATATGGAGAGATATAATGCCTGAATTTAATTTTCTGGAATGATGTGTTGTGAATAAATGTCAAGAAAAATGAAAGGAATCCTGATCTGCGGATGGAAGATATACTAGCGAAATGATTGGCTGTTGTTGGGTGGATACAGAGGTGTTTGGAATTCAGCACAGCTCTGTGAGGATTGAGCAGGATATAAAATGGAAGCTGATAAGCTTGAGGCACAACACAGATAAGCCTCTTCTTTTTTGTGGTTTATCGTTACACTAAGACCCATGTGACTGCTGATAGCCCTTGCATCCTATTGTTTATCTCCCTTGCTAACACAAAGCCGCAGAAGACATTGTTGTGCTAATTATCATCTGCCTTTCACCTCTCTCTAGGAAACCAAGAGTTAATCTAAGGCTGGAAACCAACTTATGTGGGCATATTGAAACATACTAGAGATGTTCAACATGCAAAAATTGCTAGCTGGTTTTCAATGCAGGCCATCTACGGCACATTCAATTCTTTTCTTTTTTGAATCAGCCACACATATTTTTTCTTTACCAGCAAAAATTATAGGAAACTGTGCTAGAGAAACACTTCAAAAGAAAACAATAGAACTTAAAATGGAACTGTAACTTCGCAATATGTTTTTTATTTGAAGGTTATTTATCCCCTCTATTTACCAAAAATGGGTTTGGGAGGTCTGAGGAAGAGGGCTAAATGCATAAATCCACACCACTGTATTTGGGTATATTCTGAAACCATCTTGGCTCTCTTGCAATCATTGGTCTAGTTGAAAGTTCTGCTGTTTGTATCTGTCGTACAGCATAGAGGATGCATACAGAGAAGAGGAGAAACAGAAGCAATATTTCAGTTTTTTTTCTCCTACAAGAAAATGTGTGCCCTGGGTAAGCAACATAAGACAACTGTATGCACCATAACTACTTCAATAGATTGGAATGGTTATGGTACCTGGTGTCCTGGCATCACTAGTAAATGGTTTATACACACTATACACTTAATAGAGATTCTCTGCCCCCAGCAGCCCCTAAAGCCTAGCATCCACTGATGAAGTGACAGAGGCAGACCGCTATATTGTCATTGGAGGTCAGGCATCACACTGCTGGGGACCGAGATTCTCTACTAAAAGGTGAGTAAGCCTTTTAGTAATGATTTAAAAAAAAAAAACACGCACTAAGTCTTCAGTGAATACTATTCTACCAATCTACTTCCCTAATCCTTCCCTTACATTTTGTGTCACTTTACCCCACTCCCTCTAGTATGTAAGCTCATTGAGCAGGACCCTCAACCCCTCTGTTTCTGTGTGTCCAACTTGTCCGGTTACAACTACATGTTTGTTAGTCCACCCACTGTAAAGCGCTGCGGAATTTGTTGGTGCTATATAAATATAATGATTATAATTTGGGACATGGCGTTGTGGATTTCAAGCACCACATGCTCTTCAATCAATTGAAGTGGTTACATATGGTGTCTCAGTTACTGAATTTTGAGGTCAACTGCTAAATCTTTAACGTGACACTCTAAACACCAAAACCATTTTTTGAAAGTCAGTGATTTTGTTGATTAGACCTTGTCCCTGCACTCTGGAAATGAAACGGCAGGGTTTATGTTTTGTCATACACAAACTCCTAGTGGCAGCCTGGCTCAAACCAACTAAAAGGCACCTCAGTGCAGGCTTTCAATTATTGATGACATAAAGCACAACATGATACCATAAAATGCTTTAAATTCTTTTAATAAAAAAGCACTGGCATCAATGCTTCTCTATCAATGGATGATCTCAGAAGAGGAGGAGCCACTACTTGTCCACAGACTACTTGGGGCTTGCTAAAAGGTGAGTAAAAATGCTTTTTATTTTTAATGTGAGCGGTCCCTTGATTTAAAAGTCCCCCCAAAATATAGAGAGATTACTTTTTTTTCACATAAGATGTGCACAGTTCACACAGTAGGTGGTTGATGGGCGTATCAGAACTGTGGGAGCGACTGAAGGATCCCTTAAGCCCCAGGCCCTTAATGAAGCCTGCATCTTCAAGCAGCGGTCTCGGAGGTCCTGAAAGTACCACACCTTTCCCCACAGAGGGAAACAGGAGGCCTTTTTGGTCCTGTGCCGTCAGCGGCAGGTTGCCCTCTGTCTGTGCGAACGATGCACGGGGACCAAGTCACTTTGGCTCTCAGCTCAGGTGGGTTTACATCAATGATGGCGGGAGTAGCTTGAAAAGCTGTACCCAAGAGAGGCTCACTCACTACCAGGTGCTCACACATCCCATCTCCTTCTTGTGTTTGTCGCAAGGTAGTTGCCATGTGTGGTCTCTAGTTCTGTCCAGAACCATGAGAAAACTTCATCAAGCCGCAGCAAGAATCGGTCCACTGGGTTAAGGAGAGCCCCCTGGAGCTGCTTAGTAGTGCCCACTTTCGTGGCTGGCGCATCCGCCATCTTGGAAGTTCTCTTACTGCTGCAGTGAGTGGGAATCAGCATAGTAATTCAGGGGTGTCCGATGTTGTGGGAGCCGGGATAACCCTCTCCAGCAAGGAAGGTAACGGTATGTCCAACCACCCTGGGCCTTGCTCCAGTTAGGTCAGTGACCGCGAGATCGGCCTCTTCTCAAGATCTCGACCGGCAGGAAGGATGCACACGCCGCTGGAGTTTCCCCTGCAGATAGTCCGATATGCAAGAAGGCAATTCTGTTCCCACGAGTAGTAGGGAACCTGTGGGTATTACAGGCTTAGAAAGTGTGGATAAAGAGTCTACAAGCCAGGCTTAAAACACGATGCTACAGGCTCCAACTGTATACGACCGCTCAGCTCGGGAGACAGGGCCTGTCCCCAGAGCCTTCTTTTTAAGGTTAGAATTTTCCTTTAGTATGCATTTAAAACAAAACAGCACATCACATACCAAAAAGGTTAATTAAATGTTGAGGTGATTTCTAATGTTTTATTCAGTTGTACCACTACGAGAGAGGTGACATTTCCCCTTTGTATTCAGATAACTGTGTCGTTCACAATAAAACACATAAAAAAGACATAAAAAATAAATAAGTAAATAAACATATAAATAGGGGGCTCAAAATAGGGAATATTTTTGCACTATCTGCACTATTGTTTTCATTATATTTAAAGTTTGTTGCTTGTTTATTTGCTTTTGTTTGGGTGTTTTAATGTAGAATGCAAAATATTGTATATTTAGGGTGTACTTTTTTTTTTAAAAGTATTTCTCTAGAACAGTCGGTCTTTCTTTTATGCTAGATATTATTCTTAAAGGGAAACAGCAGACCCTTAAAGCATTTCAACTTGCTGAAGTGTTTTAGGACTTAACTGCATGCCATACTTGTCCAGATTCATAAAAGTGACGATTTCAAGAGAATTTGGCACTTTTAAGCATTAATTTAGGAATATGCGTGGACAGTCAAATTACACAAAAATATTCTTCACTCATGGATATCAAACAATTGCAAACACAACACAAATGTATTAAAAATACAATTTTCTTAAATACGAGTGCCACTATGAATTCATATGAGAACAATTTACTCAAACTACATTCCCATTGATATTTTACATTTTTTAGTACACCTGGGTGACTAAGAACAGGAAATTGTTCAACCGTGACTTCCTGTTTCACAGGAGTATATATTTGAGGTAACACATAGATCTAATTCCCTTAGTCATTCATCACAAAGAGTAAAACCAAGGAATATAGCTGTGATGTACGTCACACAAATGGGAAGTGGCTATAAAAAAGCAGATCATTTAAGCAGACGTGAGAGTTTCCATGGGAAACATTTGTCTAATGCATCTTGTGAGTGCAATATTGCTCCTTACGTGACTCCATCTTGTTTTGGACTTTACCATCTTATGCCTGCATGAACTTTTAACTGTTCCAAAAGAAAACCAAGTGTTCTGCATTCCAGAGAGATGTTCTTTTGGGTGGGCTATGAATGAGGAGAGGGCCTTAGGGTATGGTAGAAGTATGGAATACGTGCAGATTATCTTTGTTTCTAATTAACCTGTTTGTTGTGTATTTTGCCAAAGAGAATGTTGTTCTTATCTTATGTCCAAAACAATGGCCACCTGTCCTGTTACATGACTTTACCTGTTAGAGTTGGAAATTCCCAGTTTCAAAATGCTTAATTAAGACATGCATGCATAACTTGTTAATTTGCCACCTCTGACTTAAAGACTACGTAATATACATACACACTTCTATTTTCCTATATTGCCTGAGGACTGTTAATGCCTTTTTTTTTCGGTCAGGGATCATTTGTATCTCTCCAATATTGACAATATTGCTGCATGGTTTAATAAATGAACTCAGAGTCATTTTCAGGCTCAACTATGACAAGCCCTTTAGAATGCATTTTATTGCACTACAACAATCTTTATGAAATCACTGCGATCGCTGCATTTGACTGGAGCATTTGCAGCAATTGCCATAAATGCACACATTTTGCCCAGACAAGATGAAGGCATTGTAAAAAATATAAAACCAAAAAGGGTGCCCATGTTATGCCTGTCCTTGCAAGTCATCTCCCAAAATGCCAGTGGATATCCACCCCTTGTGACATTACTGCTATTATTATGCAGCAGTCTAACATTTTACAATGGGTTACTAATTGGGTTATTTTGTATTAAATTCATTTTTTTCCAGTATGTGAAACGTTCTTGTTGGCAATAGAGTAGCACTTTTTATTAGTACTTCCATGGATTTCAAAACAAAAAAAAATTGCATGCGATACATTTTTACAATATCCTTCAATGCTCTATTTTTTTGTATCATTATCAATGGACAATCAATGTTACTCCAATTGACATACTTGAAAACAAGATAAATTTCAATGTATACTTCCTGGTAAAATATTTTATATGTGCATAAATAAATATATAAAGCATGTAAATGTAGGAGTATGGTAATTTTTTTTCTTACATGAAATAAGTTGGCACAGTTTGAGGATGCCTCCTTGGCTGCTAACACAAGATTCTTCAAGACTGTGAAGAAAAAGTACAAGCAATTGGACAGGATATTCCTCGCCGCCTTATTAAAGACCTGCAGTTCTTCCACTAGCTGAGCATTAAGGGCCTCGTAGTCCCTGCGTGTCTGATCAAGTTGAGTTTCTCCTGCTTTCTGAAGGCAACTGTGATAATCCAAAAGTTTATCGTAACGTTTCTGAATCAGCTTCTGGGGCACGGGGAACATGGCATGCAAGGCGCTCAGTGGTGTGTAAACAAGTCGTTCCAGTTCATTTATCTGCAGTACAGGGAAAAAGAAAAATAATAAACACCAGAGGCATTCAATTAAAAAGCAGATTGTAATGCCAGACCCTAGACTTAAGTCAAGGTATATTTATAGTAGTATAATTACATATATAACTATTACAGACAGTACACTCCACTAATATTAGCACCCATGGTAAATCTGAGCAAAGTAGGCTGTAAAAAATTGTCTCTTGTTTAACTTTTTGATCTTTTGGTTTAAAAAATGACACAAAAATATTCTGCACTCATGGATATCAAACAACTGAATATATACAAGATAAAGGTGCACATTAAATATACTAACAAGTATAAATTACTTCGAAATCCTTTATTTGTTATACCACAAAAGATACATAAACATAAACGAACAAGCAATGAATAAAGCAAACTTACCTTTTTTTTTTTAAATCGATTCCTCTTCTGTCCCTCTTTCAGGATCTGTTCTTCATTTCTTCCTGTCTGCTCTAGTTTTCTTTAAAACATAAGACAAAGTAAGGACTACTTTGTCTAATGGAGGTTTCCTACGCCTGACCAGCTTTGACCATCGGAGGAGCAAAGTGTGCTTCATTTCCTGTGGTCAGAACAATTTTCCCACAATTCTCACCTTTGATCCGTAACCTCGCGATCCGTAATAGCGCGAGTCGAGGCTATTAAACTGAACGGGGGACCTGTTGCCCCCACCTGCTGCTTGGGTGGGGGCAGGGGGCATTTCCATGAATGCAGAAACTGTTCTCATTCTATTAGGACAAAATTCGGTAGTTTCCCCAGCGTTCTGTCTATGTGACGTTCAGCAATACTGACAGGAAGCATCGCAAGATCACGGATCAAAGGTGAGAATTGTGGGAAAATTGCTCTGACCATCGGAAATGAAGCAGACTTTGCTCCTCTGCTGGTCAAAGCTGGTCAGGCATAGGAAACCTCCATTACACAACGTAGTTTCTACTTTGTCTTATGTTTAAGGAAAACTAGAGCTGACAAGAAATGAAGAACAGATCCTGACAGAGGGAGAGAAGAGGAATCGATTAAAGAAAGGTAAGTTCGGCGTGACAGTGCCGCTTTAAAGATCCCACACAAAGCTGATGGCCATCAGCATCAGGTCCTGACGAAACCAGAAGGGATATCATCACTTCCGGTGCCGAGACCCATAGGGAGCCGAGCATTCCTTTACGCACAATTAACGAGAGCTTCAAGAGTGAATAAGCAAGAACCATACGCTCTCAACCTTGAAGCCATCGTGGAAATTCAAAAACAGATAAACCAAAAATTAATAGAAAATAACATAAAATCCTTAGAAAAACAAAAATGAAGAACATATAGTAAAGGTAATAAAGCGGATAAGTTATTATCATACAAACTGAGAAAATCGAAAGTCTCTAACAGAATAACTAAAATAGAAGACAGGTTTGGAACTCGCCTAACTCCAGAGAAAATAGGTCAGTGTGTTTTAATACTTATTATGCTGGGCTCTACAACTTAAAGCCTGATACTTCTATTGATGTTATTGTTTCTTCATTTGTTGAAAACTCCTTTACCAAAAATTTCAGAGGAGCAAAGAAATAATCTAAATAGATCGGTTTTAGAAGTCAAGGTCGAAATTCGTAGATTAGAAAAAAAGACGTCTGGTCCTGTTGGATTTGGCAATATGTTTTTTTTAAAAAACATTCAGACCTCAGCTATGCACTCACATAAAAAAAGCTTTTAGCAACATAGCAGACGAGGGGTATTTCCCCCCCAAAATAACTGCAAATATCTTACCTATTCTTAAACAAGGTAAGATTTCTACAAAAGTAGAAAATTATATGCCAATTTTTTTAATAAATGTTGATGTAAAGCTGTTCTCTGCAATCTTAGCAAATAGAATGAAGCAGATCTTGAACACCAGGAGGATCCTTGACATTCTTGACAGAGCAACTAGGAGCAAAATAGACGTGTGCAATTCGTTTCGTTCCGAATTTAAATTCGGACTAATTTCAGCAATTCAGATATTTCAAAATATCCGAATTGCCGAATTTCCAAAGTGCCGACCCAAACTGAATTCCCGAAGTGCCGAATTTCGGAAGTGCCGAACCGAATTGCCAAAGTGCCAGATTTCAGACGTGCCGAAGTGCTTCGGATTTCTGTAAAAAGTGGCAAAACAGGCGAGGGAGGCAAAATTAAGGGAATGTTGACAGGAACCTAACCCTAGCCCTACCCTAACCCCTAACCTAACCCCAACCCCTAACTTAACCCTACCCCTAACTCTAACCCTACTCCTAGGAGGGTTAGGGGTATCATTAAGGTTTTAGGGGTAGGGGTAGGGTTAGGGAATTGCCGAAGTCCTGAATTTCGGAAGTGCCGAACCAAAGTGCCGAAGTCCCGAATTTCGGAAGTGCCGAAGTCCCGAACCAAACCGAATTTTTTTCCCCCATGCACATCCTAGAGCAAAATCCCATATTGAAATAACATAGTAATAATAAACAACATTTTCTCTCATTGTATATGTTATTTAGACATCACAACTGTGCACTGGAGCACTTCAATTGACTGTTTCATTGCTAGTAACAGAGCAGAAGACAAGAAATTCTAAATTAAACAGAATTTGCAATAAAGGAAGTTAAACATTAGGTGTCTCTTTACAGTATGTGTTTAGGAAGGCTTTACAAGTCACATGCATGGAGGTGTGATTAGGGCTGTATAAACAGAGTCATTTAACTCCTACATAGCAGAGAACTGTGCCGTGAGACTGCAGGAGCATGATCTATACATCAAAACTGCTTCACTAAACGAATGTGGTCTTGGTGACTATGGTGTCCCTTTAACATTTAGAACTCTGGACTAAGGTATGCATCTCACCATTCCACTCCCAAGTCATAAAATACACACAATATTTCTAATCTTAGAAAGTCTCTGATTCCTTAGCCATTGGAATTATTTTTTTTCAAGCTCTCTAATCTTAGCTCCATGTTCATTAAATTATAATATGCATAGGTCAGTTTTAATCACACACACACATCTGGAATTGCAGTCAGTGTTCTTTCTGCATTTCTCTTTTAATTGCTCTCATTAATTCGAAAGGACACCTATTGGAAATCCAGTCTACCTTTTAATTAATCTTTCCTTATTATGTTTAAAAGGTATGTGGCTTAAGATGTTTTTTATTCTATTCATATAAAGGTTTTCATAAAAAAAAGCCTTATTAATGGAATTTTGCACATAACGTATTTGCGGTTTTATCCACTGCTATTTATTATTTTGCCTTTATTCTGGGCAACAGTGGTCTCATTAAGGATTCATTTTACCAATGTTTATATGACAGCATTTCAATATTCCATTTTGTATGCTTTTCACTTAAACAAACTTGAGGTGAGAGGTTTGTTTCTAAACAGGTTTGTTTTCTACATTGGCTATTTTTATTTTTGATAAAGGTACCAGTTAATAGGAATAGAAGTCATTACTTATGTGACTATATCAACAGGTCAAATCAACACCAAATGGGTCCCAATAAATAAACTCTTCCTACAACACAGAATAAAGGATTAGGACTTCAATACTACAAGCTTTTCAAATGATTCAATGCTATCATAAACACTTTTCAAATGGTTTATCTACATTTCCATATTGACTTCTGTAGATAAATAATTTGGAAATTTTTATCACAGTTTTGAATCATTTGGAAAACTTATTAAATTGAGGCCTAAATTAGAAACCTGGACCTGTCAGACTGATTCCATCAGGGTTATTCACTAAGGTGAGAATTCAAAGTATTCAAATAGCCAGACTGGAAACATTCTCTAAGTCAGCTATACGTTCAGGTCACTTTAAATTTTCACTTTTGTAAATAACCCTGTATGTCACAATAATACCAGCTTCAGTTGAGGCTCATCCATAGCAACTGTGGCAGCGCCCCAGCAGTTTTTTTAAGTGGGGAAAATATTTGTAGTGATTTGGAAGCACTATGTTTTTTCCCTTCTTCTTTAAAGTATTCAGTCACTCTACAGCTGAGACCTAAGCACTCATGCTGTGGCTAGTTGAAAAGTTGTGAAGCTTCAAACTGCAGGAATGGGGCTGTGACTCTGAGAACTGTTCTAATTCTGATTTCAGTTTTTTTAATCTGTAATAATTATTTATTCTTTAAGCTACTTCTTGGCTCCATATTACCACTACAGATTAATTATATTGCCAGCTGTAAATGTAATAGAGGTCTATTAGTATCCTGACGCTTTCACCCTGTGTACACTGTGTGCTGAAAGCTAATAGTGAGTCAGCAGTAGCTGACATAGTTGGACTCTATTAGTATCTTGATACTTTAACCATGTCCACACTGTGAGCTGAGTGCTAGCGGAGTAGCTTACATGTTTTTATAATAACAACAATAGTTAATAGAAAGCTTAGTTATCATAGCAGGAGCACTAGTGAAGATGAGACCATGCAAGGGAGAGCTGGGAGAGGTAGGAAAATAGAGAGAGTTGGAGCATTATACAGAAACATGTGCTGTGTGGGGATCTCTGTATAATCCATCACAGTGATCCCAACTGAATGGGATATTTATGTTATCTCTTTATTGTGCCCAATTCTGTGTGTAATTTCTCTGTATTTTACTCAGCTCTACCTGTTGCATGGGTATCTTCGTATTGTACTCAGTTTTATTTATAATATAGATATCTTATGTTGTACCCAGCTTGTTTTATTGAATAGTCATCTCTGTATTATGCTCTGCTCTCCGTATCGTAGGAGTATCTCTGTACTGTATAGGGAGGAGTAAAAGTCTGGAGGAGGAACCTGGCACTTCACCATCTTAAAATGTCACCAGCCACCACTGACCAGCTTGTACAACATTTCATAGACTGCATAAAGACTTACATAATGTTCACACTGTGCTCCCTCTCGCTCTTGCATGGGCAGACCTCCATTGCTTTCCTCTGGGTCATCTTGCAAAATATCCTGTAATTCTGTAACACCAAGTGCAGTCAAGGGTATCGCATCCTAAGAGAAGAAAGGAAAAAGTGTTGACCACTTGTACAGAGCATGATGAAAAAAAACATATATACCTGTGTATATGTTCAATAAATGTTTACTTCTAGGAAACAATTAACATATTTATCCTCTTATTGGTCTTTACATAAGGTTTATAAAAACAGAGAAATTAAAAAATAAACAGATTTCGAATTCAAAAATGAATGGTAGGCTTTACTGATTTAGAAGTTACAACACATTTTCATGCATAAGCTAGCCTGTATTAAAGATTGGCATTATTATTATTATTTTTATTTTATTTTTCATTTATATAGCGCCAACAGATTCCATATTGCTTTACAATAATATGAGAGGGGTATTTAACTATAAATAGGACAATTACAAGAAAACTAACAAGAACAATAGGTTGAAGAGAACCCTGCTAAAAAACGAGCTTACAGTCTATTATGCCAATATAGGCCTATATTTTTAACAAGATTTCAAATCGCAGATATAAAACTTTGTTGTCGTTGGACCAGCCGTGGGCTTAACTCAAAGAAGCAGCTTTATTCTTGAAACACTCACCTGCATGTATTGAAAGGTGTAAGATAAATTCTTAACACAAAGTCTCACAGTCTTCTCAAGGCTTCGGAATATTTTTTCCTCCTTGTTAAATATTTGGTCTTTCACCTATAATATGCTTCAAGACATTAGCAGTATATAGTGCAATGCACTATTAAATTATTATTGCACTGCTCTTCTTAAATCAACAACATGCGTTTTATCCACTTAACTTTTCCTGTACATTTAATTAGATATAACAAAAAAAACAAAAAAAAAACATGTTAACAGCAATGGTCGATTGTAAAGTTGATTTGCAATGTACTTTTCTTATTAAGGTATGAAAAAAAATAATGAAGTAAATTTACTTTAGATAAGTCTGTATAACTTTCCGAGGGCGTTTGTTACATTGAAAGATAAGGGTACGGCAGGATTAGTATACTTAAGGTGACTGTACCTGTTCACCACCCCGAGTCAGTATCTTCAAGTGGCTGGTCACTCTCTTGGATTTCTTGCTGATGGAGTGAATACTGAGTTTGGAGAGCTTATCTTTTAGAGATTCCTCTTCATCTGCCCTCCTGTACTTCAATACTGAAAGATATCAAAAGGCATGAGATATCACCAGATTGATGTTAAAGGGCAAAACCTATCTGTAATGTTATATTGACATCCCTCTCAAAGTTCTGCCTGAGTTTCACAGATAATCATTAATCAATTAGTAATCAAAGCGCAGAGCTGAAATAGAAGCTATTGGCTGCAGACGTTGGAATGGACAAGATACAGAAATGTGATGCTGTATTTTGGTTATGCTTTGATGCAGTGACTTATAGTGCAGTTATTACTGTCCATACAAACTAGATTGTGGTTAACCCCTTTATGGGAGATAACTCACCAGCACAACCATGATTTCGACTTGCCTAACTGATTGTTGTAAGTGTGGATCAATGTAGTGTTTATACCACTATTAACGTTGTATGATATATTTGTTGTGATATATAGTAACTTTTTATTTTATTTATTTATTTTTTTACTATATACAGTGTAAGCTGTAGATTTTGGGGCATTCTTGGGAAATGCCCCATTGTATGGCATAGTAGATCACTCAGACATGCTTATTATGTTCTAATAGGATTTCTGACATCACCCATGATTTGCATTGTGTTGTCAGATTATGTATTCCCTAAACCTAGATCTGCATATAGTTCTGTTTTCTGTCACTGGTTAACAGCATCAGAGGAGATAGAGCTTTTTGAATGGTTCCTGTTTCCTAAATCCATGCATTTAGAGGCTTTTGGTGTTGAACATGGCATTGGATGCAGGGTTTTTATAGGGTTAAGTGGCCAGTGTAAATTCTGCTGTTAAAAAAGCTAGCACTCCACCATCTAGAAATATAAACAATGACCTAAGATTTCCACTTATAGTTTCATTAAAATTCCAACTCTATTGGGAAGATCTATATGTACTCAGCACATGTACAAGATCATCCTTGGAGGGTCCTTCAGCCTTCCGTGTGAGTAAACCAGTTATATCAGACAGACGACACAGAGGAGACAGATCCTCTTCAAACAGAAGCTAAGTATTTAGTTATCATATTTCAGTTAACACAAAATTCTGATTATTTACTGTTTCAGTACCTAGATCCTTCCGTCGTTTCAGTTCATTAATGTTCACATTAAGCTGTTTTATGGCTGCATATGAATCTTGCAGTGACCTGTAGTCTGGGTGACACGGAGGAGTAGAATTCAACAATTCACACAGCAACAAAGGGTACTTCATCACCCTTTGAATTGGTTTAATCATCAGTGAGCCCATGTCCAACAGGTTTGGTTTTCCTCTGGAAGACAGAGACGAATGCATTGTTATACAGCATTACTTGCATGCATATGTGTATAATAGTAATCAAAATCAATCAGAAAAGTATACAATACATTACAAGAATCAGGACAATAAATGGACAATTTAGACAAAAACAGCACAGTTTAGATGAAACAGTTTTTGTTTTTAATTTTGCAAGTTGGTTATCAATTTACCATAACTGACTGTTTTAATATTAAATGGACCTTATGGGTTGTTAAAATCTTGACTATAGACTGGAGTAGACTGGATTTTTAATCCTGTCCCATTGTCCCTACTAAAGTAAAAGTCATGTTATGTGAAGCATTCAAGGTGGTAATTTATCTATTGGTCCACTATTATAGTTATTATTATTATTTATATAGCGCCATCACATTCTGTAGCGCTGTACAATGGTTGCCGGTCATTATATTAGGTACGGAGGTTGTGGATCCTCTAGCTCCAGTGGACAGGGGCCAGTGGATCGTGCATCCCTTGGTCCTATAATCAAAGGACTGAAAGGCCTGGAATCTCTTCTTGTCTACCATATATATTAATACTGTCTTCCACAGCCCAGGAAGGAGAAAATATGTAACATACATAACCCATCAATACTTGGGCAGTGGAAGAAATTGTCCATTCATGGAGTATCCCCATTTCATTTTATGGAGAATTGCAATATTTTATGTTTTTGGAGGGGAGCATATGCTAGGGTCTACACCCTTACTGGAAGATATTTTTGTTTCGCATTGTGTGAAATACGGAATATTATTTATTTTTTATGTGGTGTGCAACATATACACATACATTTGTTTTCAGTTGAAAAAACACTTAATTTACCTACAAAAATGCAAGCCTGTTAAATAAGGTGTGTGAAATTAATTTCTGCTGAGCAGAGATATTTTTTATCAAATCAAATAAAAATTAATTTCTGCTCTTATGTCAATCATTAAGAAACTTTGACGTGAGAAAAAAAAAGTTCTATTGCTTTATTCCAGACAGTAAAAAAGTTAATATTTTATTAGTAGACACTACTATTTCTCAAATAATTTCAGCAAAGGAGAAGTTCTGGTTCATGGAAAAAGTGCCAATCTCTACCACTTGGTGTCTCCAAATACAGCGTATTGTCCAGGTTTCTCATTGTTAATGCTGTAATTCTAAGTGTACTGGACTGGCACATATAAAGAGTGGGCAAACAAAATGATTTGCTCAACAGTTTGCTTTTGTAAAGGACAAACATACAAAGCAAATATAACTTTAATTTCTCTCCAAATAAGCACACTTTTTAAAGGGCCAGGTCACTCTCAGGGAAGCAAAAAAATATAAGACCATGAAAGAAAATAAGATAAAGGGTATGCCAGCCTATTGCTGAGTTATTCACCTGTTCTCCCAATATATTAAAGCTGCCTATTATATTTAAAGGACCACTATAGGCACCCAGACCACTTCAGCTTAATGAAGCGGTCTGGGTGCCAGGTCCATCTAGGGTTAACCCTGCCTGCTGTAAACATAGCAGTTTCAGAGAAACTGCTATGTTTACATATGGGTTAATCCAGCCTCTAGTGGCTGTCTCATTGACAGCCGCTGGAGGCGCTTCCGCGCTTCTCATTGTGATTTTCACAGTGAGAAGACGCCAGCGTCCATAGGAAAGCATTGAGAATGCTTTCCTATGGACTGACTGAATGCGCGCGCGGCTCTTGCCGCACATGCGCATTCAGCCGATGACATCTGAAGGATGAGGAGAGTAACCAGCGCTGAGGGAGCCCGGCACTGGAGAAAGGTAAGAATTGAACCCCTTCCTCCCCCTAGAGCCCAGCGGGAGGGGGGCCATGAGGGTGGGGGGGACCTATTAATACCATAGCGCCAGGAAAACGAGTTTGTTTTCCTGGCACTATAGTGGTCCTTTAACTTTAGTTTTTGTGACTTGACAAAGGGAGAACCTCCCCAAAAGCTTGTTGTTCCAAGATTAGTTTACCCCTTAAGGACACATGACAGAAATATTCCGTCAAGATTCCCTTTTATTCCGGAAGTTGTGTCCTTAAGGGGTTAACAAAAAAGAATTATATTCTGGAATATTCTGCACTGCATCTACATCTGTAGACTAATACAATTACTGGAAAACCTAACGAAGAAGAATGCATAACGAGTTCAACTCAAGATTTTAGCTACTTACATCCAAAAGGCAAAACTCAGGCACCAATAGTCAAGTTGAAATTATGGCTGATATTTTAGTCTCAGTTTTGCCATTAAAATGTTAAATCGCAAAAATTCTGAGTTTAGTGAATAACCCTGAGTGACACTTGATGGTGCTTTTCTGAATACAGGGAGTGCAGAATTATTAGGCAAATGAGTATTTTGACCACATCATCCTCTTTATGCATGTTGTCTTACTCCAAGCTGTATAGGCTCAAAGCCTACTACCAATTAAGCATATTAGGTGATGTGCATCTCTGTAATGAGAAGGGGTGTGGTCTAATGACATCAACACCCTATATCAGGTGTGCATAATTATTAGGCAACTTCCTTTCCTTTGGCAAAATGGGTCAAAAGAAGGACTTGACAGGCTCAGAAAAGTCAAAAATAGTGAGATATCTTGCAGAGGGATGCAGCACTCTTAAAATTGCAAAGCTTCTGAAGCGTGATCATCGAACAATCAAGCGTTTCATTCAAAATAGTCAACAGGGTCGCAAGAAGCGTGTGGAAAAACCAAGGCGCAAAATAACCGCCCATGAACTGAGAAAAGTCAAGCGTGCAGCTGCCACGATGCCACTTGCCACCAGTTTGGCCATATTTCAGAGCTGCAACATCACTGGAGTGCCCAAAAGCACAAGGTGTGCAATAGTCAGAGACATGGCCAAGGTAAGAAAGGCTGAAAGACGACCACCACTGAACAAGACACACAAGCTGAAACGTCAAGACTGGGCCAAGAAATATCTCAAGACTGATTTTTCTAAGGTTTTATGGACTGATGAAATGAGAGTGAGTCTTGATGGGCCAGATGGATGGGCCCGTGGCTGGATTGGTAAAGGGCAGAGAGCTCCAGTCCGACTCAGACGCCAGCAAGGTGGAGGTGGAGTACTGGTTTGGGCTAGTATCATCAAAGATGAGCTTGTGGGGCCTTTTCGGGTTGAGGATGGAGTCAAGCTCAACTCCCAGTCCCACTGCCAGTTCCTGGAAGACACCTTCTTCAAGCAGTGGTACAGGAAGAAGTCTGCATCCTTCAAGAAAAACATGATTTTCATGCAGGACAATGCTCCATCACACGCGTCCAAGTACTCCACAGCGTGGCTGGCAAGAAAGGGTATAAAAGAAGAAAATCTAATGACATGGCCTCCTTGTTCACCTGATCTGAACCCCATTGAGAACCTGTGGTCCATCATCAAATGTGAGATTTACAAGGAGGGAAAACAGTACACCTCTCTGAACAGTGTCTGGGAGGCTGTGGTTGCTGCTGCACGCAATGTTGATGGTGAACAGATCAAAACACTGACAGAATCCATGGATGGCAGGCTTTTGAGTGTCCTTGCAAAGAAAGGTGGCTATATTGGTCACTGATTTGTTTTTGTTTTGTTTTTGAATGTCAGAAATGTATATTTGTGAATGTTGAGATGTTATATTGGTTTCACTGGTAATAATAAATAATTGAAATGGGTATATATTTGTTTTTTGTTAAGTTGCCTAATAATTATGCACAGTAATAGTCACCTGCACACACAGATATCCCCCTAACATAGCTAAAACTAAAAACAAACTAAAAACTACTTCCAAAAATATTCAGCTTTGATATTAATTAGTTTTTTGGGTTCATTGAGAACATGGTTGTTGTTCAATAATAAAATGAATCCTCAAAAATACAACTTGCCTAATAATTCTGCACTCCCTGTATAGTTAAACATGTGAACTGATAAAACTAAACTCTCTGCTGAACCAGGAAGTTGAGTGAATTCTTTAATTAAAACAATGCGCTGCTTTATAGCTAGATTGTGTTCTCTCTTTTATTTATTGTACACCTCATTCATAGAGGGAAATGAGTTTTGTAACAAAAAACATAAAATTGTAGCTAAAAAAGATAAAGCCAGTAGATTTTCCGTCAAGTGTCTCAATATATACCTTCACAAGAAACACCTGAATGAATCTTGTGTAAACCAGAGTGTGAGTCATAATGTAGGCAAAAGGTTAACAGATGGCTCTATGGGAAAAAATCCCCAGTGAAAATGTAAGTTGTTTGTTCACTAAATAGTGAGAGACTGAGTTAAATCCTGGTTGGCGACATTCAGGTCACAATGGCTGTGGCAAAAAGGTGGATTTTTTTCAGCTTGACTAGTTTGATCTAAATGTTGTAAATCTGTTAGCAACTCATACAGCTGTCTGAAGACAAAATTCCTAAGGCTACTGCACATTAGAAATCAGGAGATTAGGAAGCAAGAATGGGTGTTTAAAAATCATTTTAGAAAAACATTTAGAAATTTTTGATTTTATGAATAGACCCAAGCAGGACAGTGTAAGCACATAAAGTAAGAACATTGTTAGATATGTTTCCACTTTTTTGAAGTGCTGTTGTGACAATAAGCCCATGCCCAGAACACTTCAGCAGTGGGGCTGCCATAGTGGCTGGTCTTATCTTTAAAGTTGGCCTGACCACTTTAACGATGAGGCTGTCCCTTCATGGCCTGACACTCCCTCATCACAATCCCTATTCTGGCCTTTCCAGCCAATGCCATATCCATCTCTTCCAATATTGACTTAGGGTATAACAAAATGAATCAAACATTTGAAATATAGGGGGCATAGCCAAGAGCTCAATGTGAACGAACATGTAGATCTGCAGCTCCGGCCAAACTGTCAGTGAAAAAAGCTTTTTACACAGCAGAGGCAGAAGATAATCCCCTTCTTATTGAGTAACAACTTACCTTAAATGACGGCACACAGGGGGAGCAAAGAAATCCCAGGCAAAATCGCATGCTCTCCAAGTCTCTTCTCTCGTCACCTCCAATGAGGATCCAAGATGACACCAAAAAGCCACCATCTCCAGCCTGTCTGGAGAACAGCGATATCACCTCTATCTCCTAACCTCAGTGACACTGGCCACAGATCCATCCATCCAGCCAGCATATGCTGCATGAGCCCCAATCCTGATTAAAAACAGATTTTGCAAAGCTGTAGAGTGAAATCCAGATGGATTTTCACGCAATGGGGGAGCGAACGGTGCACCTTGAAAAAGAATCTGAAGAGCTGACTGAAGCTCACAACTCCCTAGTGGACGCTTACATGCTTTGGAATCCATACTGCAAGCTTTAAAAGATAATTAGCAGACCATGAAGATTGCAACAAACACGGCAACATCTGAATTAGGAACATAGTGGAGGAGATTTTGCCACAAGGACTACATGAATATCTTCCACAGCTATTCAACTCTTTAGTGCCTGACCTACTAAAGAAAGATTTCTTGCTGGATCACACACGGTGGACCTGTTCTAAAATTTCATCAACAAGACCAGCTTCACGCCCTTTCCATCCTTCTATCTACTTCCTGCTATTGTGGCCAGACACCTTTGACCACTTCCTCCCTGCAGCACTTGCGCTGCGGCGGCATTTTTTTTTTTTTTTAAGGGGCCTGGTCGCGCTATACCACGGCCACAGCGCTGACCGGGCCCCTGAAGATATAGGGCCCATCGGGTGGCCCTAAGTGTGTGGGCCACCCGATGGGCCCCATCAGCATGCAAGTGCCGGTGCAAGTGCCGCTACACGTCGCCGCTACACGTGGGGCCCGGGCGGCCGGGCCCGTGACAACCGTCATGGTTGTCACCCCCTGATGGCGGCCCTGATTGCCCCCATCCTGTCTAATTAGTTACAGCATGATGGCAAATGGCAATGAGTGTAAAATGGCATGTATCTTTACAGATGTAACCACTGTTGTTAGCTGATGTAGCAAAGACATTTCTTATAAGTTTTCTACTACTGAGACTACTGCGTAATGAGTTAAAGGGAAATCATTTCAGAAAAACAATAAGATTAGAAATAAAAATGTAAATAATACTTACTGGTCTTCATATATTTTTCTGTGAAAAGAAATGAAAAGAAGGCAGAATAAATGAATGCAATAAAAGGATGAACTTTAAATTGAACAGACATGTACATCTATAAAAAACAGTTGCACAATGAACTTAAGGGACCACTATAGGCACCCAGACCACTTCAGCTTAATGAGGTGGTCTGGGTGCCTGGTCCATCTAGGGTTAACCCTTTTTTCTATAAACATAGCAGTTTCACCGGGAGTGACAGACCCGGTCGCAGCTGCGACCGCAGTAGTTCCGCCAGTGGTGGCAAGCACAGTGCACACATTTAAACTCCCCATACCATGGGAAAGCATTGAATCAATGTCATGTCATGTGATCAAGTTTTACTTGGTCAGTAAAGCAATAACGCCCCTAGTGGCTGTCATGACAGCCACTGACTTAACCCTGCATAGTTTCTAAAAACTGCAATGTTTTGCATTGCCGGGTTGAAAGGCCAGTAACACTTCACCTAGACCACTTCATTACGATGAAGTGGTCTGGGTGACTAAATTGTCCTTTTAGAGTAAGCATTATACAGAAATAATGTATGTACACTTTGAAAAATTTGACACATATAATAGTCGCAATAACTGTAAACTAATAAACAAAAATACACAGCAACTTTGTTACTTTTATTGAAATCAGTAAAACAGATCATAACAATGGCATCGAGGCAAGGACTTTTGAACTCCAACATCCAAAAGCAACAGGTTCTCAGGATAATATCAGAAAACCGGAAGACATTGGACAAAAATCTTTTGGATCTTTAACATTTGATGTTAACTTGTTAAACGATTTGGGATTTTGGAACACAGAGAAGATTTCCCACAAAGGACACTATACAGTCTGCATGTTAATTATAGATATGATCATTTATATAATTCACGCACAGTTTATAGCACTGTTCTACTATGGGGGACAACACTTTTAAACATTTAAGTTTGTATCGAAATGGCTCTTTCACTCTATTTCTTCCCGAGTCATTTTCCTTGATGAATGTGTCATTTATGTTTTTGTTTTTTCAAAGTCAGTGCACCATTTTGTGGTAAGTCTCAGAGGATATTGATTGATAGGTTGATTGAGAACACCTAAAAACTTACTAAATATTCATGAGAGACATATTATATATAACAAGAGAAAGGCAAAATGACTCTCCATAATGAAATGTGATTAGTCATTGTTCAGATGATCAAAATTCAATAATTCATTTTATAAGAAAGGATCACCAGGAGTAATGATGTAAAAAAATAAATGAATTGAAATGTTACACCTGGCACTTGGAACACCCATTGCTCATTCTCTTTTCATAACTGTCTCTTTAATTGTTGTTGACTAAACAACACCCTTTTTCTATTTCTTTGATTTTCATGAGAATATAGTAGCAGTTTACTTTCCCATAAGCTCCTGTTTCTAGATCCCATTTAAGCATAATTAAAGCCCTCAAGCAATATATCAGGAATAACCATTTAAACATTTTCTGTAGTTTCTATTTAATATTTTGTACTAAGCCTGCAATACAATATCATTAACGTTTTTGCATTCTTTGATTTCAAAACCAAGTGCACTGCGGTGTCAGGCTGAAGCTCCTTTTATATTTACAAAGGGAGGCGTTTTAAACTTCTGTGAAGGAGCCAGAGCCATGCCTGTGATGTGGCTAAATTAGCAGATTGTTTGCTTAGGGAAGATCCTCACAGGCTGTTGATCAAGGTGTTTTGATGATAAATATAGAGAGGGTGTACATCAAAACAAACTAAGGTGTATGTGTGTTGTCCTTGCTGAAATATAAACTCAATTTAAGCCTTGAAGTGAAGGTCACCCGCTCACTCCCATGGGGTTGTTTAAATAAAGTTATTGTTTCATATGTTGATTGCTATTGTTAGTTTACATTAGCAGTAGCAACTACATTTAAATTAGAGAATCTTGTCTGTGAAACATGGGTTCTTCCACAATTCAGCAAGACCGAATTAATGGTGTTTATTCACTAAAAAGAGAATTTATCCACTGTGCTCTGGGGACTTAAAAAGCATATTGCAAACAGGAGATTTTTTTATTTTTCTACACTGGCTGTTTAAGAATAAAATGTGCAATTTCCTGGTTAATTTTCCAATGTTCGCGATTTATTAAATGAATCCTGGTGTATTTGGCTGCTTATCAATGCAGAGTTTGCCTGTGATCACTATCTGTGTCTGGATTATCACTATAAATATTCACTCATTTTGAAATGCTCTCTATAATCCCATCACTTTTATACATTGCTAAACAGAAACTTACAGTATAGAGCAGGTCTTGAAATTTACTCTCGCCCACCAGCCATTAGCAAGTGTAAATCCATCCTTGGCAAGTAGAAACCCACCTGTGGTGAGTGTGCCATGGACCCTCCAAGCTGGCATTGGGAGTACATTTTAAGCCTTGCTAGTAGTATAGGACTTACGTTATTGAGTTGAGAGATCCAGAAAAGTGTGAATGACTAAAGATATTTAATAAATAATCTTAATAATTAAAGGGACACAAACCTGTATTCATGACCCTATAGTGTTGAAACCACAATTTAGGTGGCTTGGCCACTGTTAACTCTCTTAAAAGGTAATGAATCTTACCTTATTTCCAGCGCCGGCACTGGCCCCATCCCGATCTGCCTCCTTGCTGATTTAGGATTTTTAGCCAATCATAGGGAAAGCAGATTGGCTGAAATCGTCAAGGAGGTGGGGCGGGCCCAACTCTATGAGGAAAACTCAGCGTCTCCACGCTGAAACGCAGAAAGCACCTCCAGTGGCCATCTGAGTAGAGGCTAATAGAGGTGTCCCTAGGGGGAAATATAAACACTGCCTTTGCTCTGAAAAGACAGTGTTTACATGAAAATGCCTGCAGGGAATGATTACACATACCAGAACAACTACATTAAACTGTAGTTGTTCTGGTGACTATAGTGTCCCTTTAACTGTACAGAATCCATGATTGAAGTAGAGGTATTTCATGTCTAGGTATGTGGGCCCTGATAAAAGAAAATAATTAGTTTTCATGCTATTTGTAACAGCACTTCTCATTATCATCTGCCATTAGTTGGCATATTAACTCTGGAATATTTTCTGTATATTTTTTTTATTATATCCATCACAAAGCATCCCAATCACAGGTAGGGATAAGCAACTTCTAAAACTGTACAGGACATCCCTCTAAGACTTCAGGACCTCGCATCAGTGGCGGATCCAGGGGGGGCAACGGGCAATTCCCCCCACCCCCCGAGATTTTCCCCTGTCAGCTAATGCAGGGCTGGCATTGTCCAAGTGCCAGCCCTGCAATGTGCCTGCGGACCGGGGAGGGAGATCAATGATCTCCCTCCCCGGTCCGCAGGCACTGTGCTGGCAGCCAGCAGGGGAGGGAGAGGGAGTGAGAGAGGACCCGGGAGCTCTTACCTCCGGGTCCTCCTCTCGCGAGCATGGAGCATTGCCGTGGTTACCACGGCAACGCTCCAAATCTCGCGAGAGTAAACTCTAGCCCTGGAGCGTGGGTTAGAGTTCACCTCACCACTGGGACCACCAGGGATTCACCACTGGGACCACCAGGGATGGAGAAATGGAGAAATGTCCCCCTCCTCCCAGTAAAGGTAAGAAGGGAGGGGGGAAATAGATTTATTTTATTAAATAAAAAAATTAAATATTAAAAAGCCTCCT